ACTTAGACGACTAGAAGAATTATGTAGACGACTATGGTAATTGATGATGATAGATGACGACTATTAGACTAGTTCATTTTTTACTTTTTGGGATCGTCATCGTAGCTTTATGAACGTTGGGTGTATACGTCAATTATGATGGGATCCACTTAAGCCAACGTCTCCCGTGGCCAATGCGCGGAGCCGCGAGGCAAGCGCAAAGGAACACCAAGACGACTTAAGTGCTCAAGATGATGGCGTATCTTCGCAACGTATCTTGGTGTTGAAACGGCTGGACGTTTCACTCACGTTGAAGATGATGAGATTGATTGCACACCTCTGTTCTATCTGAGAGTTAGAGTTCTAGATTGATACTAGACAACCGTAGCTTACTGTGGCTACGTGTTCTCTCTTTGACTGTGAACGTGCGTCGTTTACGACTAGGAGCAGTTGCTCTTACGTTGTAATCTCGCTTGACTAGCACTTGGTCTATATGTAGTGGTCTCACTAGTGCCATTGAGTAGCAAATCCATTAGATCTAATTGTGATGTTGGGTTCCTACGTTAGTGAGAACTCTACGTGGTGAGGATTCCGGCTGAGCCAACCCGCGGTTGAGCAGGGGTACCTTCGGATCGAGTAGAAGTCCCTACGTCTGGTCCCACGCTTTGACAGCTTTGATCCAGCTCTCTACTACTCTTCTACTCTACTCCGTCATCTCCTGGCACCCCTGGCGACCGCGCATTGCGCTGTGATGTGGGGCAGCCCGCTATAGCAGGGTTGTGACTCAAGTTAGGTGGGATATAGTAGAGCTTAGTATGGGGCCAAACGGTCTACGTGATTCACGAATCGTAGAATGAGCTAGGCTATCTCGCGTGCTGAAATCCGTGCTAAACGCTAAGTGCAATATGTCCCTGAGCATGATCGAATAGAGGCTCTGTGATGAAGGACGAGGTAATCACCTGCACTTTCACTTAGAGAATACACGACATGAACTATGTAGAACATGACGCAGGTCTCTTCATGACAGAAGATACGTTGTCTATTCTGTCCACTCCTGCCGGAGGAGACAGGTTACCTGGAGCTCTCGCAGGGTTTCAATCGGCTATGACTACCATGAGTGAGGTATCCTATGAGTGAGGTAGCGAGTCGCCACAGCAACACTAGCAACACAGTGTTACAGGTGACCTCACCCATGGTAGACATAGACAGTGACTGTCTATGTCTACCATGGGTGAGGTCACTGCCTGGCGGTGACCGCCAGTGACGTCCTTTTCGAAAAGGACGTCTTTGAAAAAAGGTCACGACCTTTTCGCAAAGACCATGACTTGAACAACCAATACGAGTTCCCACCAATGCATCACCGCCACTACAAGAATCACCTTAGTTTGACATTGCTCAATTACCTTCTAACATGTTAGGCTAACATGTTAGCCATCTATAGATCTCTACCCCTAGCTGAAAATGGTATTTGTCAACGGGCTGACCGTCAGCCACTTGTACAGAAAATTGCCGTTAGCCGCTGACGGCGATTCTCTGTACAATTGTGCTGAGTTCTGTCATTCTCTCAAGCATACTGCACCAGTATTACTGGTGCTCCTGGGATCACTGCTATCGGATAGCGGCTATTCTCAAGACTTGAGACACTTAGTGTTATTGCGATCACTAGTATCTGAAGCCAACTACAATCGCCTTCGAAGAAGCAGCTATTAGCTGCTTTTCGTTAGCTTAGATTGTAGTTCTTAGAAGAAAGTCTCAAGAAGCTGCATCACTTGTGCTCTCGTCAAGACCGACCCTGGCAATAGACAACCAGGGTTTCACCTAGGCGTATTGGGCGCGCCCCCAGGCGCGCATTCTGATGGGTCGAAGAGGAGTAGGCGCGCATGTCGGGTGCGGCAGTAGGCGCGCTTGACGCGCCTCCGTAGGAGCGTGTAGCGGGTTCGAGTAGATGTAGCGGAGGGGTGTGACGTGATAATGGGTCTTCGGAAGACCGTCTTCCTGGGCCAACAACCTTCATCAAGAGCTATAGATCTCAGGAAGCACGCAAGCACATCCCATGGGCTACATTGATGTGCGCAGAATCCCATAACAATCGCCCATACGCCTTGTAGCACGCGTGCGCCAGTGGCGCAGCGCCACGAGCGCCGTTCATCGGCGTGACATCACTAAATAAGTGCCAGTGACACAGTGCCAGTTGGTTACTGAGTATATCGTAGTTGGATGTGGCCCCGATTTGCCCCGTAGATAGTTGTGAAGCATGCCTGTAAATGCGTTCGAACGACTCATGGAAGCTGGCAAGAGGAAGCCAGCGGCTGATCCACCAGCTGACAGCGAGAATGATGAACCAGCACGCTCCTCCAAAGCTCCCAAAGTGAAGAAGCTCGCCCCAGTGAAAGAGCGTTTTGATTGGATTATAGAAGTTAAGGGCGAGGATGGGAATGGCAGATACTTTTGCTCTATTTGCTCGAGGGATCCTGTCCTGTTGAAGGCGGCTGAAGGGAAGGTCGAATACTTCACCAATGTTGGAGTAGAGAAAGCCAAGGACCCCGGCAGAAAGGCCGAGGCTCATGCCTCCAAGTCTTCCCATCACAGTGCTCTCTCAAGGCACAATATTGCAAGCGGCAACACCAAATCAGCAGTGCAATCTCTGCAGGACGCTGCACTGAGAGCATTCCAAAAGAGCTCCGCTGAAGACGAGACCTACATAAAAGAGTATATCAAGTTGGGTCTGTGGTGTGCATCACACGAGATCCCTCACACTACTGCTTACGAGCCCCTCATCAACCTTGTGTCATCCTATAACGGTGAATTGCTAAGATGGGCACAGGTTCGGCCTGCTAATGCTCATTACCGCTCAAAGAAGACCATCTCAGAGATCATCGACCTGTGTAGTGTGGTATGTGATGAGAGAGTGTTCCAGCGATTAATAAATGGCATCGAGCGATCTGGTAGGTTCTCTCTCATGATCGATGAGACCTCACTGTATGGGCAAAGCATCATGGGTGTCTTTGCTAGATATGTTACTTGTAGAGGGAGCATCGACGTGGCTGAAGTCCGTGAAGACCTCGTTGTATGCTGCCCACTCACCAGCACGAAATCCGCCATCATAGAAGAGACATTGGTGAGAGAGTTGAATGACCGAGGATTCAACGAAGCTATGTGGGCGAAGCTGGGGGCCTTGAGTTGCGATGGGGCAGCAAGCATGTCTTCCGATAACCAAGGTCTCTATGGGAGGCTCAAGTCTCGTTTCGGACTTGAGAAACTACAATTCCAACATTGCCGGGCACATCGAGTTAATCTGGCGGCGAAGGCGGTGTTATCATCTGGCGATCATGTTGCGATCGAGGATGCTATCAACTTGACGCAGGATCTGTATGTTTATATGGCCAAGTCAATAAGAAACTGAGCTTTTCAAGAAAATCTCAATGGAGGGGATTGTGGAAGCTGGCGGGAAGCATCATGATAAGTTCCTGAAGCTCGTCGAGGCCGGAGGTACTCGGTGGCTCTCTCACAACAACAGTCTGAAGCGCCTCATACGGGTCTTTGTTAAAGTGGCAAAGCTGTTACATCATATTTCGGAAGATCGAGACTTCGACGCTGGCGAGAGAAGTCGCGCTTCGGCTCTGTTGGAGAGAATGCTGTACAAGAAGACCATCCTCTGTATTTGTGTCGTATCTGATGTCCTGGCTCAGCTGGCAACACTGACCAATGCATTTCAATCTAGGGAGTGGACCCTAGACAGAGCAGTCGACTTGACAACGAGCGTCATTGGCCAGCTTGATGATATGCTCAAGAACGAGTCTCTTACGGGATCATGTGACTCTGCAACCAAGCTACTGGATGACCTGAGGGTGGACGAGTTCGAGGTCATTGAGAAGACCAGAAAACTGCGAGGATGTCGAACTGACGCTACCACTGCTGAGGAGACAGCCGATGATCACTTACGTAAGTACATTGAAGCTCTCGTAGCCGAGCTCCGTCGTCGCTTCAGTGACGACTGCAGAGTTATTGCTTACTTGGACGTTTTTAATCACCCTGTTTGGAAAGTTAGGGTACCCTCTGTCGCCGAGAGATTCGGCTTCGATGCTGAAACTCTGGTAGCAGAGTCTCAAAACATCGCTAAACATATAGATCTGATGCCCAGTCTCCGCGCAGCTGTAACTCCTCCAGCAACCATCGAGGGAAAGGTGAACTTCAAGCGGAATTTTTGGTTGGCTTTCTGTGGTGACCACTATAGCCGCACTATGTTTCCAGAACATTGCAAAGTCGCGGCGTTCTTGCTCACTTGTCCCATATCATCGAGTAACGTAGAAAGGGCATTCAGCTACACCACCAGAATTGATAGTAACATCCGTGCAGCTCTAGCTCCTGAGACGGTGTGCAAATTGGTGAGAATCTCTATGCAAGGCCCAAGTTTTCCAGGCATAGCACAGCAAACTTGGCCTCCTGAGAAGCGATCGCTAGAGCAGACCGATGCTGAGATCGACCTCAGGGATTTCATAAATGAGGTTTTTGATAAATGGTTCCACAGTAGGCGTAGAATCAACCAAGTTGTTTCCAAGTAGACTTTTATATCACTGGTATAATACCACCATAGTCGGCCACATGACTGGGCCCAGGTCCACTCGACCTTCTATAGAACTTTATTTTCTCAGACTATCGTTTTGAGTTGGAAATATCGGCTAGATGGAACTTTCATTCATTCGTCTCTCATCATGGAAGATAATTCGCAGATATTTTTTTCGGCGAACAGCAATCTAAAGAATCTAATGGGACAATTCGAGGCGCGCAAGCGCCGAGCGAGCCGAGCTTAGGCGCATACCCAATAATTCCTAGGTGAAACCCTGTAGACAACCCAAGAGTCTCAACGATATAGTCATCCCTGACCGACCACTTCAAGTAGCCAGTTTACGCTATGACTACAACAACCAATTGTTCGAGCGGTAAATCCTTCTCCATTAATTTGGTCTGTCAACTCACTAATCCACCCTTATGTTACCCCACTGTTGATGTAAACGCGGTCATCGAATCGATGGCATCGATATACAACAGGCA